ATAGAAATGGTTAAATCTACTTTCTGAGTCTTTAGCACAATACCTAGAGAGCTGTTCTAAACAAAATGTATTTTTGTTTTACTCTTGTGTAAACAAATTGACAAATAAATCAAAGTCTAAGTCAATACTTTTTTTTTTTTACTTTTGAGAACTGATTTAAAAAACATCTTAAACTGTAATATTTTTCAAATTATTAAATATTTAAAAACTACATAAAAATCCTCAAAATTACTTTACAAGTTTTAAGCACCATATATTTTTTAAACCTGTAATATAAACATAGAATATATATGATGTTATTAAAAGATTTTTATTTCCCACAGTTCCTGAAGGCAACAGCTGGGAATATATGATCCCAGCCCCCCTCAACACTTATTGGTCCACATCCCATATCATCTAAGCCCCGCCCCCATGCTGAGGGAACGGCAGTTTTGTAGAGAAAAAAAAAAAAAATCTAAAATTAGAAAGATAAATTAAATCTGAAAAATAAAAAATACTTTTTAATTTTTAAAAAGTAACTTTTTTCCAGTCTTAAAACAAATGTTTTTCACCAAACTTTATGGCACCAATTTAGCTCCATACCAGTGAATCATGCGATCCTATGGTCAGCAGTTGAATCTGTCTGTGAAAGCGATTTCATTCATCGCTCCTTCGTTGTTCTCTCCATCCATTAGAGAAGATTTAATCCAAGCTGCTTTGAAAAAACGCCGCCTGCAGCAACGGCGCTGAAATGGGCAACGAGCGGAGAGCTTCGCCGGCCTTCGCCGGCCTTCGCCTCCTGCCGCTTTGCACTCAGCACTGCAGCCATGTTTTTGCCAGTTTCTATATTTAAAAGGGAGAACTCTGGGAAAGTAGGCCGCTGTGCCTCGGCAGAGCGCAGCGAGGCTGAGAGGGAAAGAAGAAGGAGGAGGATTATTGAACTCTGGCTGCTTCCCTGTGGGTGCAGAGAGCAAAGCATGCTGGGAGGAGACCTTTGTGGTCCCGTTCTGTCAGATGTAAACATTGCCTCGTCTTTTTTACAGTAGATTTTTGTTTTCTTAAACTCAGGCGTTGCAAAGACTCATCCATGGTTCCTCCATTTAAAGCTGCTTCCTTCTGCTGCAGCTGCTGTTCAACTTGGTTTGGTCTTGTTTTGTGTTCAGATGCAGAAAACACCAAGCAGCCACATGTTCCCTTCCCAAACGCTGAGGGCAAAATGGCCGACTGACGGGGGGCGGCTTCTCCTTTAGGGTTATTTTTTGTTTTGATTTTTTGGGAAAATTGGGGTTTACTAATTATCCCAGAGCTAAAGAAACGATTTCCTTCTGCCTAATAAAGCCAATATTATCATGCTGACCTTTACTGCCCCCCAGTGGGGAGATTCATGCTAATCGTGCCACTGCTTTTTAAATAATTAATTAGACATTTAAATTAATAAAAATCTTTTTTATTGTTGGAAATATTGAAGAAACTGGACCAAAATGTTGAAATTCTTCTGTAGCAGTTGCTTAGAAACGCTCCTGTAGTTCTTGAACGCATCGCCTATAATGAACAAAAGCGCGGCTAGCGCTAGCATCGTTATCTTTCTGGCTGGTTGATCATTTTACCGCTGGTCTGGGTCCTTCTGTGAGGATGAAACCAGCTGTAACCTGATTGGTCAGAGCAGGTCATGTGACACGCAGCCACACAGAACCAGCCCAACTACGGCGTCCACTGGAAGAATCTAACCCCCCCTCTGACTCTCCTGCAGTCCACGACCTGATTCACTGGCGGGACCCCAAGAAGTCTGGCGTGGTGTTCGGCCTGTCGCTGCTGCTGCTGCTGTCGCTGGCGGCCTTCAGCGTCATCAGCGTGATCTCCTACCTGCTGCTGGCTCTGCTCTGCGTCACCATCACCTTCCGCATCTACAAATCCGTCATCCAGGCCGTGCAGAAGTCCAGCGACGGACACCCGTTCAAGTAAGACCCAAACACACCGCCCATGTATGGGGCCAAATTAGAGCCACAATGTTTGTTCCAAATCTTTGGAAAATGAGTCCGTCCTCATGGATGGCGCCTTTCCTCACACTGAGCACGTCTGTAGTTTCTTTAGTAAACTTTGAACATCTGATTCCCAACAGTTAGTGTCAGGGAACGCCTTTCAAACGCGTGTGTCAGCTTTAACGCTGATGGATGCAGGGTTTGTATCAGCGTGAAACAATCTTACGTTAGATGAGGGCTGATATATTCAGATATTTATTTAATTTGCCGATATGGGATCAGGACTTCCGTGGACTAATATTCCCTGCTGTTGCATTCAAGGGGCGTGGGAAATAGAAATGTCTTTAAAGTATCATTGATTTTTACACTCTATGCTAATAGGATTGTTTTTTTTTTTTTATTTACCTTCAAACATTTTTATAGTTTCATATTGGTTTATAGATTGAAAAATACCTCAGTTTTAAATTCTTTTCTCTTAGTTTTGTTTTTATATTTAACAATATTTTTTTCCTTTCCAAATAACTTTTTAGTTTTTCCTTATTCCTTATTTTTTATTCAGTTTCAGACGTTTTTATAGTTAAAAAAAATTTAGTTACAAATAGTTTTTTTATTTTGAAAAATACTTGTTTTAAAATCCTTTAATCTGTCTTTCATTTTTCAGATTAAAATCTTTTTTCCTTTCCAGATAACTTTTTGGTTTATCCTT